CTTTATAAAAAGCTTCAACAGATTATTCAAGCTCTCATCTTCAAAAAAAATCATAGATAAACATCAAATAAAAACATCGAGCTAACTCAAAAATAGGATACTTTAATTGTTTTTTCCCAAAACTTAGCACACGTAAATTAGAAAAAATGAGAATCGGACCCATCAAAAAAATACGAAACGCAACTCATCACTTTTCTGACCTTCGAATCCCCATTTCACATCTCTTCTCCTCGATGCTTGTTTTCTCCTCGTTGATAAAGCGAGCCACTTTTCAACAAGAAATCCGATTCAAGGTTCCATTAGTAAAATTTCCACAATTCACATATTCTCTTCAATCCCAATTTCCAATTCTAAGAATATTAAAAGCTCTCATTCTCTTTTCAAGACATAAAAAATTCTTCAGTGTAAAAGAGAGACGTTTCATTCAGTAAACTAGCAAAAACTAACCTCAAAATTCCCCATTATCCAAAGCCATCGAGTTATTGTCTTCCTCCATCGGAAAATCCTCAGTCACTTCCATCTCCTCGTCCCCAATCTCCGGCAAAACAATCACCACTCGATCCCGTGAACCACCAGCCACTCGCTTTTGTACAGCTCTGGGAAAGTGATTTCGACTCAATTCACCATCATTGTATCAACTTCATCCTTGATAATCTCCAAGCTAAAGCCACTCACATTGTTGGAAACAACAGTCCCATTCGCCATCTCATCCATATCATTCCACATCACTTTGCACGGAGCCAAATGCCTCATGAACAAAGAAGAGAGGCCTACAAAAACCCCAGAAAACTGGACCGATTGCTTGTCCATCGCTGCAAAAACTGTCCACGGTTTCAAAGAGTTCCCAAAAATCCAATGAGCTGCAGTTCGAGAGATTAAAAAGATCACAGAATTAATCAATTACTGAATAACAGAAAAAACATAGCACACAAATATCTCAACAAACTAAATAACACAGCATAAAAAAATGACCAACTAAAATCGAGGGAAAATTGAGCAGAAAGCAGCAAAACAATTTACAGTTGTTTTCATCTAGAGGATGAATATCGGATCTAGGGTTCGTTGGCCGCATCTGCATCCGCTACGGTGAAATTCAGGTTGAAGAAGCTACCAATTGTGTAGACTAAGTTAAATCCGTCGTAAAAAATGGGGCTATCAAAGACTCCGACGTTGTTGATGGATATTTGTTCGGGCTGGCCGGAGGTCACGACGAGGTGGCTGGCGGTGAAGAGGGACGGGACTGTAGAGACAAAGGGAAAGAGAGGAGGGATGACGGGGAGAGAGGGGGGAGAAGTGAAGGAGGAGGTGGGCGAGAGACGGCTGACTGGAAGTGGAGAAGGCGGCGGGGAGAAGATTGTGAGGGTGGTGATGGCGGCGTCAATGAAAGAGAAAGGGAATTGAAATTTTCACAATTTCGTAATTAAGGCTTAATGAAGTCTGATGTGCGTTTTTTTTTTTAATTCTCGTTAAATGGGCATTATAAAAAGTTTCCCCCGTTAGGAGGGTAATTAGTTCAAGATTTTTCGTATACATTCAAAATGGCATTAGATTTTGGAGTAATCATGGATATAAACAATATTGACATCTATAAATCGACGATATAGGTAATTGGAGGATCATTATCAATGGTCAAACCAACATTCTCAAGTGGAGGAGTGAATTTCCTATGTATCGTTTTGACTTTAGGAACTTTTTAACTTTAATAGGTGTTCATAATGTTGATGAAGTCATGTTGTTTGGTACGCTATAATTTTTTGTTTATTTCTTATTTCGATTTTTTTAGTTAAAATCTTTAATAAACTATATTATACATTATACGTTTCAATATGATGTATTTGTCTTACATTTTTGTAGATGTTGTATTGGTTGTTTCAATACACTCTATTCAAATAAAGATTGTCGAGGGAGTTCCTACCCAAATGATTGTATTCTCTATTATGGATTGGGAGTAAGAATCTTTTGCATTACATATTCATATTTTATATTCTAATATTTTTATATGATTTTTTTCTATTATATTTCGATTTTAATGTTTTACGCATGTAATATCTTAAAAAAATAAATTAAAATACCAATGTTTAGAATTTATATTTTCAACTCATAATATGCCCTTTAAAAACCTCTTGGACATTGTGTAGGGGAGACATAAAGAACTGTACGGTTTGGGGCCAGTTGTATATTGTTGTCGTCCGTGTCACAAACATAAATGGTTTGAAAATCCTAATTTGTGGTGACGATGACGTGTCAAATAATCAAACCATGAACGTTGTATATAAGGTAATGTTCAATAATATATAGATTTTATTTTTATTATATTTATTAATTATTAATGACATGATTTTTTCTTTAGTAAGTACTTTGAATTTTAACTTAAATTTGCTTTTTAAATGGGACGGAAATAACAAACCCCGTGCATCGCACGGGTACTGTACTAGTGACTACTAAAATATCTACACCAAAAGCCGAAAGCTACTGAACAAAAACCAGGCCTACAACTACTAACAACCTGCGCATGCTTTTTTATTTTCTTTATTTATTTATTTATTTATTTTATTTATTTACACTTTTTTCTTTTTATTTATTTTACTCTTTTTATTTATTTATTTATTTATTTACTCTTTTTTCTTTTTATTTTATAACTCCTATATTTTAATTTTAATTTATTTTATTGACTATTTTTTCTTGTGTAATCTTAATTTAAGTTATTTTGGTCTTGTAGTGTTATTTTATTTTCATGCATTTAAAATTTATTATTATAATGTAAAAATAATAAATTTTCGTTTTATAGAGAATAGAATATTAAAATTTATATTGAATGAGTGGATAATGGGTCCCATATATGTGTTTAAATCAAAGAAACAAATAGCGCGCTATAGCGCCGCAATAGCGGCTCAAACCAACTAACGCGACGTAATCTTGCATTTTTGCGCTATACGCGCTATTGGCGATATAGCGCCGCTATAGCGCGCTATTGCCGCTATAGCACGCTAAATCGCCGTTATTGCTGGCCGGCCCAAAAACATGATGTTATATTCGCACATGCCCTTTTTTTTGTTCAATTTGTTTCCTGAAGAAGACTGTTAACATCATCTTGTGAAAGTTGAATTTGATGTATGCTGCTTTTGATTGCTTTATTCAGCTCATTGTATGTATTCTTTTTTTTTGTCATTTTCTTTGATTATTTTGTAAGATGATGTTTGTATTAATATACACGTGGAGGTGGAATTGAGATTTCGATGTTATTAGGCAAAATTTGAAATTTTTTCCTGTAATTTATTTGTGGTATCTTCTTGTGATGATCTCTGGTAATCTGACTGAAATATTCCATTTATAGATTCATGATCCAACTGTCGCTTGGATGAATTGATTGATATGTTTAGTGAAATGTAGCAAGTTTGGACAAAATAAAATGGAATACTAAAGACGGATACGCAATGTAATCAATTGGAAAATTAGTGAACTTTAGAAATATTAAATCAAGGCAAAACTTCATAAATATTAAACCAGGGCAACCTATTAATTCAAAAAAAAAGGAGAAAACTATCATTCCATTTTACTGTGAATAAAATAGCCCGCTATAGCGGCGCTATAGCGTGGAAAACAATGCAACGCTGCGGCGTATAGCTGTCGCTATAGCGCGGTGATAGCGCCACTATAGCGGCCGCTTTAGCGGCAATAGCGCCCAGATCAGCCAAACGCAAAATTTGATAGCCCGCGATAAAAAAAACATTGGTTTAAATGGATGGATATGAATGTGGGTGTGTGTTTAAATGGAGAGAGATTTAGTGGAAAGATGATGTAGAAATGATGTGGATGAGAGAGAGTGTTAATTTTTTATTGAATGAATTGTATGGATATGGATGCCCTTATAGTTGTTCAATAATCTCCAAAAAGCAATGCGAGAAAAAAAATTGAGTGCAAGCACGCGCTGAAGCACGTGAAGGAAGGTGGGTCGACATCAATACGACCTCTGTCATTGCATACAAGGGAAATGCGAAGCTGCTCGACTACACGGCCACAAGAGGTGCTATCGTGGCTTTCACACGTGGCCTTTCCCTCCAGCTGGTTGACCATGGCATAAGAGTCAACGGGGTTGCGTCGGGACCCATATGGACCCCTCTTGTACTGGCGTCATTAACGGAGGATGAAAGCTCGAATTTCGGTAAGTAAGTCCCAATGAAAAGGGCAGGGTAGCCTGTTGAGGTAGCCCCCTTCGTACGTTTTTCTTGCTTCGAATGTCGCCTCGTCTTACATAAAGGGACATGTGCTCCACCCGAATGGGGGCACAATCGTCAATGCGTGATTTTATTTCCATATATATATATATATAGTTTCTAGCTCCCCTTGTTAGTGTGTTTTGGTGTGTGTTGTTGGCTTTTGGGGTCTGTAAGGGAGTAATGCTTTTGTGGTATGTGAATAGATAATATATGTGAGCTTTTCACAACTTGTACTGTGTTTCTATAGATTTCTTGTTCATGTTTTTCTTGATATATATTTTGTGCTTGTGTTGTAAGTAAGAAAAATTCCAGTATTCCATCGGAAATTCCCATGGTCAGTATACTGAATTGCCAAGAAAAATATAAATAAATCCGTGACGTATTTGTGTGAACAATGAGATTCTTAAGTACACTGAAGTAAGTTTTCTCGGCCAGCACTCCAAACTGCATTACACTATACCCAATTCTATTTTCCAAGTAGAAACTCATCTTCAGGAGATTATGAAGTAAAACTTAATTACACCATAAAAGAGGGTAAATTTACGAACTTCTAGTGTGAAGGTTCCAACTTTCATCTGTATTACCCACACCAGGTTTAAAAAGTCTTCTTCACGAACATATGAACCAATTGTTAGACGGAGAACACATAGGCAGCAAAAGCATCGTCATTACAACAGAAGATTCAAAAATTATAACTATCAACATGAATTAAACCAAGATCACCACAATCTTGAACTAAATTCAATCCGAACTTTTAACTACTTTACGCCTTTTGGCCTAACCTCAATCCCCTGAAAGACGAAGCCCTTTTTTCCAGTTACCGTGCTTCACCTCCATGACGCCAAACTCCAGATCAGCATCTTCTCCTCCCTCAACAAAATACTCTCTCAACTCGACTTCCATCCACCCATCACCCCTTGTTTTCGGGTGCTTCGTATCAGCAGTCTCGGCAGATGCAATCTCTACCATCTGTTCTCTCACCATATGAGGCAGCCTACGATAAGCCGACCCGAGGTTACGAGGAACGATTTGGCGCCTCTCCCTGTGGGCCCCGTCAAAATCTAAAAACACGTAGCGCCTTTGACTTGCTTGACCGGTCAGCCCCACAAAAGCCTCGGCCGGGTGGCTTTCGAAGCCATGAGCGCTCGATTTGAGGGTGAAGACTAGGTGTGCCACGTAGGACGTGCCGGGTGAGAGCATCTTTGTTCTGATTTTGCCTCGTATTTCGAACCAACACACGTCGATAAGCTCTGCCACTTCAGGGAACCTGAAGCAAGTGAACTGAGTTAGTTGCTTCCGTGGCATGTAAATAGACCTAAGTTTTGAATGACATAGACAAAAATATAGAAAAGTAACAAAATTAACTCTAATGCAAAGATACTATGTCTCTACTTGGGTCTAAAGTAGAAAATAGACTTAATGTACATGTCTCTTTTTCTTGCTGCCACATAAGCAGGAAGACCTAGTCGACTTACGAGTATATATTTTTCGAGGATATATATTTTTCTAGACTGAGTCTATTTCTTGCGTGATTTTTTTCTTTTTTTGGTTTAACGCAAAGCATTGTGGATGCTCGGTGAACGCAAAGCATTGTGGATGCTCTTAGCACCGATATTGGAGAAAATTCGGTCCAACATTTTCCCAACAAGAAACTCGGTTTGGAAAATGAGTGCTTAGTTCAAACTGAAAGTGATGTTATGCTTATTGACCGCGCGTCGCAATGCGGCAAAATTAAAATTTATATTTTCCTTAACCGACTTCTACCAACTAGTAGTAGTAGTGAGCAAGGGTCGAACCCACAGGGAGTGTGAATTAAATTGTGAATTTTTCGTATTAATTGAGTTTATTAAAAGCGATAAAATGGGGGAGGGGATTGGAATTAAACTAAGATCCTAATAAAGAAAATAAAATATAGACTATAAAATAAATTTAAATTAGAATAAATAAAGAGAAATTTCTAGTTCACGATTCCATCTACACTATCGACTGACTCGTCTAATCAACTTTGGTATCAAATCTCGCTATCTTATGAAATTACTAGCCCAAGGTAACGACACGGTCTGTTACCCGAATTTTTCCTTATTTTTAATCTAACCGCAAAACGTTCTACGATTAGACCTGTCTCCTTGTACAGTCCAAAAAAATGTTTTCAAGATTTTATACAATTAGCCGCTTTACGCATTAAAAAAATAGGCTAGACTAAGTAGTGACGCGTTCGTTCACTTAAATAGGCCGTGTTATCCGGTAGCCTCTTATGAATTAAACACGACAACAATTACGGATTGAATGTCTAATTCAACTGTAGATATGAAAAACCTAATCTAGGTGATCAATCTAAGCAAGACTCAACACATCATGGTTAATTATTCAAAATAACACAAACAATTTCAAAAATATATTAAAATTATCAACCACGAAAATCAACTAAACATCATCAAGTACGTAGGGTTCAACTTCCCCGGACTAGAAATAAAACTGTCCTAACATAATAAATAAAAAGCAAAAAAAAAGAATAAAGTTATCCTTCTCGTGTGCGGGTGCGGTCTCCCTCCGCTTCCGCCAGATTCCTCGTCAGTCGCGTATCTGTCCGTATGCTTCTTTTTCCTTACGTATGGTCTGTGTGGCGGCTCACAAAACTCCCAAGTATATGCATGCGTGAATTTTTTTTACATTCTCCCTTTTGGTGAATGCTAATATAATTCCTTCCCCTCTAATAAATACCCCCAAGTGGGCCTGCGTGTGTATCCTCTCAATTATGATTAGTGACATCATTTATTTAAGGGCATTACTATTTACCGCCCCCCTATTACTAGTC